CTATACTCCCAAAAATTAAGCATTCAATCGTCACTCTATTCTCAAATAAAAAAGTTAGATACAGTATAGCCAAATTAACTGTACCGCGCAACACTTTCGCGCTTTAGTTAAAACTTTGAAATCCAAAGGTGATCGAACGACATTGGACGATTGTTCTGTATGTTAAAATTCCAGTGAAAATTCTATTAGCATAAATGATAAGATAAACAGGTAAATATTGTTCAATTTTCTTCTTTGAAATAATTTTGAAACATTTCAAAGTCTATAATTAATAGGCCTAGAATCAATAACGTATGTGTACGTTTGCTATCTGATCAGTTGTAACTGTTTGTAATAATGCGGGAGAGGGCATTACATGATTTCAATACCTTGTGCCTAATCCTTTTGTTTCACTTAATAATGTTTAAAGGGCGATGATTGGCTATTTTTTTTTAAATTTTGATCATCAATGTTTATGCTATCACGCATTTAAATTCAAAATGAGTCTGCTATATACCGTGCTATGAGAGACTTGCAGATATGTAACCTCTAGGCTACAAATAGATACCTATATAATCATGACAGCACGGGTCTCCGAGTCTAAGTTTGATAAAATCACTCATCCATGACTGATCCCATTCTACCTGTGCGCTCACATACATGCCCACGACCTGACTAGCGATAAGGGGACATAACCCATGGTATCCCCTAGAAGTTATTGTAGTTGAAAATGAACCAAATAGCTTCAATATCTCACCATATTTCAGTTTTCCGTTAAAATATCGCTACGTAATATGTTGTTTTAAACATGAATACCTCTCGTCGGGTTGGTTTTATTAGTTGCATTGGATTTTGAGCGAAACTGTGTACTATATATGCAAATGAGTGTTTACTCGCACAGCCGACTTTATGGGCCAGATATAAGGAATTCACAAAAGGGTGGATGGTGGGCGTTTCTCTACTCCCACAAAAGAAGCATTCAATCGTCACTATATTCTTAAATAATAAAGTTAGTTACAGTATAGCGAAATAAATAATCAAAATAATCCAAAGGTGATCGACCGACATTGGACGATTGTTGCGTGTGTTAAAATTCCAGTGAAAATTCTATTAGCATAAATAATAAGTTTAACAGGCAAACATTGTTCAATTTAATAGGCCTAGAATCAATAACGTATATGTAAGTTTGCTATCTCATCAGTTGTAACTGTTTGTGATAATGCGGGAGAGGGCATTACATGATTTCAATAACTTTTGCCCAATCCCTTTGTTTCACTTAAATACGTTTAAAGGGCGATGAGTGACTATTTTTTTATTTTGAACATAGATGTTTATGCTATCGCGCATTTAAATTCAAAATGAGTCTGGTATGTACTGTTTTATGACGGACTAGCAGATATGATCCTCTATGTAGGCTACAACAAATATCTATATAACCATGACTGGGTCTCTCTAGTATAACGGTACATACTAAGTTCGTATCAGCACAGATTGCAGTTTGAAAAAATCTCTCATACCTGACTGGCCCCATCCTACATGTGGGCTCTCGTGCCTCCAACTCGATAAGCGATAAGGGGACATAACCCATGATATCCCGTAGAGATAGCTGCACATGTCGTGGTAGTCTCTTACATGCTATCTGTACTGTACATTTCCCGGGGTCAGGAACACAATATTTCAGCTCCCCTCATTTCGATTCCTAAGTCGTGGTAGTCTCTTACATGTAATCTGTACTGCAGCATCTGATAATCAATGACAGCGTTAACACCAATACGATATTCTATGCATCAATAAATAATGTAAGAAAACGTTGAACAAAATTACGTATTACCAAACAATTCTTTTCCCGTGTTATTAATCATTTAGAACATGGTTTTATATATTTATGTTGTTTAAAGGTAACATAGTAAAAATTAGTCTTGCTCAAATCAGTTTAAAAAAGAAGTTAGGAATAATACGAAGTCAATATGTAGGTCATAAACACCTAATTCAAGTTTGGCCTATTTGTACTACTCAAGAAACCTCTTTTAGTCAACTTTAAAGAAACTTGAAAACGATGCTTACAAATATCAAATAACAAATAATTACCCCATGGACCCCTCCTTGCCCAATCCATATATAGGTCATGTCGTTTTTACGTCTAGTCGTTCCTGTGGCAATGCGTTAGATACCCGCCGAGTGTCAATCATCACATTTTCAAGTTTATCATCGAAATATATTCATAACGAGGTCAGTACGTTTGAAAGGCCATATTGTTCACGCAATAACGGTTGTAGCCTATGTCTCAATGAAATTTTCCTACTTTCAGTCTGCGTTAATTTTATCTTATATAATGATAATATTGATTGGAGTTCGATGTAAAGTGTGTTAATATTTTATAAAATACAGGAAGAGTTTAGTTCTATCCATGCCTATTTACCACTTACAACACATTGAACAGTACACCACCTTGCTATCATGCTTTTAATCAACATATACAGGATGTCTCTACGTAAATCAGAACATAGGCAATGCTATTTAAACTGCTCTTTGATACTTTGTGCTTTCCACGTGTTTCAGTGACAGCGTCACAACTAGGCTGTATTTATTTATCATCATCATATGTAGCAGATAATAAATCCACCGGTTTAAATATCTGTAAAATCTGTTTAAATATCCGTGACAAATTATCTGAAATCTGTGGATCTCTTATATTTATATATAGCTCTGTAGACTCTGTAGCGTTCCGTAGAAACAACTTCCGCTACGAACCTAGATAAAACTGGGAATACATAGCTTTTGACCTCTGGAATCGTTAGGTGCTATACAAACAACTTCCGGTTTCTATTTACTTCCTCCTTGATTATGATCTATGAAGTACTAAGAAGAAATGACCCTTCATTATTACTATTCATTACTTTGTACTCAGTTACATACCGACTATACAGTTATACCCCGACAGCAAATTTGATAAACAGATGATGGACTATCCTGAAGGCATATTGCCATTGACCGTCTGCTGTGTATAAGGAAGTGACCGATGCCTAATCATTTACGTTTTAACTTAATACACCTGGACACCATGGATACCGAACTTTTATCAATATAAGTTTGGTTTGTTAATCATTATATAAGATAAAACGAACGACAGATTTGACATGGGATAAATTAAAAGATAAAACATTGTTAAATGTAAAAGTTATATCGTGAGTTGATTGAACTTACAGACAAATGGCCTTTCAATAGATTTTTCCTGATTGTAAACATGATAAACAGCTGATGACTAATACTCAGGTTCGGTAAACATTTTGCCAAAGGCAAGATCAAATCCGGACTTGAGTAAACTGACATGACATTTCGTTCTTATGAAACAATTTTTATTTATGACATAAGTTTATATTCATATCAAATTAATTATCTATCTCTCTTGGCTGTGCATCAATGATATGTCGACTTAGACAAGGCAAAGTTAAAAGAGAAACCATTGAAGGTTTTTCTATGATTTTTTTTTCATTTGAAAGTACCTACTTTATTCGTTCTTATAGAGATTGTACCCTCAATTCGTTATATAAATAGACATCACTATCATTTTGAAAAAAAAAGAGTAAATCGATCAATCAATTTACAAAGTATTGTTTATATCATATACTTAGCAATATTTGATATACCGACAGGTCTTTGTAATTTTGCATACTGTGCATTTGTGGTTCTTCTGTAGTTCTCATTTTAACAATTCAAACTGGAATAAAATTTAAAGACTTTTTTTCATTAGAACATAAATTGAACAAGGGAATAATGCTCATGAATCCAACGTTTTTTGTTTTATTGAACTTGATCATTATATAATTGACTGGTTTGGGAGGAAATGTTATTGGAACAGGTCAGCGCACACTGATTTGTTCTTTTATAGCATTAAGTTATGTAAGTTGGTAGCAGGTTTTTGTCCGATAACCAACGATAACTAGTCTGTTATTTTTTCGCATTTACGTTTAGTAACATTTCGTTCGTGAGACATTTTCGAGTAGATGATAGTTTATCAGTAAATTAGGACAGAGAGAAGAAAAAATAATACTTAAAAAATGTATTATTTTGCAGGCGTCACGCCTTTCCGGCCTGTAGCAGTTGTGCTATTTTGTCAAATAAAGTATTGATTTATTGTTCTGTATTAATGAAAAAAAATATTTGGAAGTGAACGGTCGTAATTCTAATTAAGAAATATTCTATTTCTTTTAGTAATATGAAGCTGGACGTGTTTGATGCTCGTAGATTTGAAAGTTCATTCCGTTGGTGTATACCTTGTTCTATTTGAGAACGTGACATACTTACTTTAAATGCCTAATTATTACATGACGGTTGTCGTCATGAAGCAGACGACGCTTACTCTTCCGGAACACCTGGTCTAATTATCTTTGTACCTTTTCAGAAGTAAATTTTTCTTTTGTTCATGCTTTTCCCTAACTTAATTGGATTTGAGTTTGGGTTCTGATTCTTTTGAGATGCTGGTTTTTTCTTCTTCTTTTTTTAAATTTGTTTTTATTGGTATCTTTTATCTAAAAGCCGTTACAGTTTTACGATTTATTTGATAAGAAGTTAAAATCTTAATAAGAATTTAACAATAATTTCAATTACTTTGTATTCATTAAAATCGATTTTGATACTACATTACATGTAACTGTCGATGATGGTCTGGTTAATCCAAGCCATGAACTAAATGAAGATATGTACTTAACCACTGGAAAAACTAAATCCAAACAAAACTATTGATTTAACTGTAAAAAGGAAAACTGCAATCCTCTTCTTGTCTTTGATAGCCATTTTATGAATGAAAAAGAAAGCCAGAAACTTTTGGGATTTTTTTATTCAGTTCTAAAAGAACATGTAGCAACCACGTCCGAAAATCGTACAAAATATTAAAAACATTACGGAAATGCTCAGTTAAATGGTTGACATGGAGACATCACTTACACCATTTACAATTAAACTAGTGCCAAGTAACTAAAACTTATCTTAATGTATAACATTTTGAACCATACGTTGAACAATATTTAAATGATATTTAACCTAATATCAGTTATGGAGCTCTATTTCATATAATCAAAGAGAGCGCAGATTTCTTAATACCCTTCGTTCTGAAAATGATGGCTCAGTACTTCCCCAGATATAATGTAAATATGGAATTCTCTGGATCCAACAATGACCTCATCTGCGTCATACAAGATTTTGTAATCCGAATTAAATAGTTTGAGATCAACAAATACATATACTGATAACGCCTCTGACAATTGTTCCTCCAGAAGATTAAGTTTAATCCATGTCAGAGACTTGAATGAAGATCAATTTGCTGATTGTACACACACATATATATATATATATCTTCTGTGTCATCCTATACATGTGATCATCTATATGTCAATACAAAACACTTCACCTATTGCTCCAACTCCTGATATCTGATCCAAGGGATGTATACTCGATTTTTTATGTTACTGTCTTAACTTCTGGTCATCCCGAGTCATCTACTGAAACAAATATAATTATATTGTCTGATGTAGGTAAGTTTATATTTGTCACTAATACATTACAATGATTAGTTACTAAATGACATATAGGTGGTTGTTTGTCATCATTTACTTATATATAGGATTATGCTATACATTTGAATAGTTAATCATACTTATAGCGATTGGTCTCACATTAATAAACCACCAATAGCGAAGATATATATCTGTTATCGACCACCAACAGAGAAGATATATATCTGTTATCGACCACCAACAGAGAAGATATATATCTGTTATCTACCACCAATAGAGAAGATATCTGTTATCTACCACCAATAGAGAAGATATATATCTGTTATCTACCACCAATAGAGAAGATATATATCTGTTATCTACCACCAATAGAGAAGATATATATCTGTCATCTACCACCAATAGAGAAGATATATATCTGTTATCTACCACCAATAGAGAAGATATATATATGTTATCTACCACCAATAGAGAAAATATCTGTTATCTACCACCAATAGAGAAGATATATATCTGTTATCTACCACCAAGGGAGAATATATATATCTGTTATCTACCACCAATAAAGAAGATATATATCAATAGAGAATATATATATCTGTTATCTACCACCAATAGAGAAGATATATATCTGTTATCTACCACCAATAGAGAAGATATCTGTTATCTACCACCAATAGAGAAGATATCTGTTATCTACCACCAATAGAGAAGATATATATCTGTTATCTACCACCAATAGAGAAGATATATATCTGTTATCTACCACCAATAGAGAAGATATATGTCTGTTATTTACCACCAATAGAGAAGATATATATCTGTTATCTACCACAAATAAAGAAGATATCTGTTATCTACCACCAATAGAGAAAATATCTGTTATCTACCACCAATAGAGAAGATATATATCTGTTATCTACCACCAATGGAGAAGATATATATCTGTTATTTACCACCAATAGAGAAGATATATATCTGTTATCTACCACAAATAAAGAAGATATCTGTTATCTACCACCAATAGAGAAGATATATATATCTACCACCAATAGAGAAGATATATATCTGTTATCTACCACCAATAAAGAAGATATATATCTGTTATCTACCACCAATAAAGAATATATATATCTGTTATCTACCACCAATAGAGAAGATATATATCTGTTATCTACCACCAATATCTACCACTAAAAGAGAAGATATATATGTTATCTACCACAAATAGAGAATATATATATCTGTTATCTACCACCAATAGAGAAGATACATGTCGGCTATATCTGTTATCTACCACCAATAGAGAAGATATATATCTGTTATCTACCACCAATAGAGAAGATATATATCTGTTATCTACCACCAATAGAGAAGATATATATCTGTTATTTACCACCAATGGAGAAGATATATATCTGTTATCTACCACCAATAAAGAAGATATATATCTGTTATCTACCACCAATAGAGAAGATATATATCTGTCATCTACCACCAATGGAGAAGATATATATCTGTTATCTACCACCAATAGAGAAGATATCTGTTATCTACCACCAATAGAGAAGATACATGTCGGCTATATCTGTTATCTTAACCATTTTTTAAAGTTCATTCAATACAATTCTTCCAAATGAATTTTTTTCACTTTTAAATTGAAATGATCCTTTTTAAAAGTTTAATATGTTATTTTCGACTACCTTACCTTCTCTCTGCAATTTATCTAGTCTGTTTGATATAATAGCACTGAATGCACGTATCTGTAAAATCATGAAGTCCTCCTGGGTCACGTCTGCAGGATCTATTTCTGAGAAATAATAGAGATATGTTAATTTGGTATTGAGTTACCTTTTACAGCGCTAGCTATAGTACACTACATGTACCTTTGTACCAGTAAGTTATATCACTGGGTCCAAAATAAACAGAAAGCACTTTACTTTTTTTAAAGGAATTAGTGTATTATGTACGGGTTGTAGTGCTGTATGGATAGTGTGTGATGACAGGTGGATTTGTTATGTTGTCAGTTTTAAAATGTACCCGACTTCATTGGTATTAAGAATGGTTTTCACGTAGATTATAATCGCAGAATACTTTCGCAATTCTTTCGAAGTTTGAAATAATTTCGTGATACTCAAAACCCTAATCTAGGGAAAGAATTTTGTTTGTTTTTTTTTATATTATTATTTATTTCCACCACAATTTTACAAAACGTTTTCTCTTAGATTGTAATCGTAGACTGTTATCGCAATAATTTTCGCAGAAATCGGTAAAGCTTAAAAGATATTCTTCATTCAAAATGTTATTGGTATTTGATATCTTTCTATTTATCAAATGATTTTTGTAATTTTTGTAATGACAAAATACTTTGTTTCAAAATAATTTGATGTATTACTTTTCCTTATATCTCAGTAACCTTGGTTTCCAAGGTGATTAGCGACAATTTAGAATCTATTGAAAACCATTATTTTAATCCAATCAACCATACCAGTTTAAAGTTCATAGATGGGATAATATTTCTTACAATAAATTAAACATTGATACGTGATATACAAGTAGGTCACAACACTTATATAGATATGGAAATAATTCTCACAATAAATTAACTTTTTGCGCGTGCTATATAAGTAGGTCACAACACTCATATACATATGGAAATAATTCTCACAATAAATTAACTTTTTGCGCGTGCTATATAACTAGGTAACAACACTTATATAAATGTGATTTCGGCTATATTACCTTCTCTCTGTAATTCATCTAGTCCACGAGATAGAATAGAATTGGATTCATGTATCTGTTCTGTCTGTGTCTTCTCTAGGTCCACATCTACAGTAAGTATATCGGACAAATGACAGAGATATGTTAACGTGGTATTTACCTGCATTTTCCAGTGCTAGCGACAGTACACTATCTATACCCTCCTTTGTATCAGTAAGACATATCATTGGGTCAATGAATCCTAATAATGATATAACGCTAAACTGTAGAAATGTATATCATCTACAGTTCTGTCATTACAAAATGATGTTTCAAAATTATTGACATAGTACTTTTCCTTTGATATTAATAGACTACAAGTTGATTGGAGGATATTTATAGATATAGTAATATAGGTCATTTTAATCCAACCAATCTCATAGATTTTAATTGATTTTAAGCATGTGTATAAATGTCTTCGACAAGACAATTATATTAATCAGTAGAGATATATTCGATATATTTTTTCTATGTGATATTAGATAGTTTGATTTTAAAACTATATCAAGTTAGATAGAGTAGAGTCAAACAATGAATGAAACTGCATCATACAGCTGTCCTTCCAGGACTCGTCAGTGATGCTACGTCATAAAGCTGTCCTTCTAGGACTCTTCAGTGATGCTACATCATACAGCTCTTTCGTCTTTCCAGGACTCTTCAGTGATGCTACATCATACAGCAGTCCTTCTAGGACTCGTCAGTGATACCACATCATACAGCTGTTCCGTCATTCTAGAACTCTTCAGTGACACTACATCATACAGCTGTTCCATTCAAAGTACTTGTCAGTTATTCTACATCATACAGCTGGTTCGTCCTTCTAGGACTTGTCAGTGATACCACATCATACAGCTGTTTTGTCCTTCTGGGACTCGTCAGTGATACTTCATCATACAGCTGTGACGTCATTCTAGGACTCTTCAGTGATGTTATATTATACAGCTGTTTCGTCCTTCTATGACTCTTCAGTGATGTTATATTATACAGCTGTCCTAGGACTCGTCAGTGGTGTTACATCATTCAGCTGTCCTTCCAGGACTCTTCAGTGATGCTAATTTTGAAGCCTACGAAGCGACTAAGGAAAATCCAAAGTGATTGAAAGTACTTGAATTATTTGATGAATATACCATATAAGTTCTAAATATAGGAAACAGTAGTACATCCCGCCTTTCCGGAAAGTCTGTTTCGTGATAACCCTGTATGTCAAGAAAATGATATGCGAGGTATTGACAAGTTTCAGAACAGTAGACTACACACAACAAACAAGAAATGATAAATGACCAACCTGGTGCTATTTTTCGTGTACTGCTGTGATTCTTAGAAGAGGGGTCATCGGATTTGTATATCTTATTGATGTAAAACGACAGCGCCATTAACGTCATCATAATCCACACAGTCGTCACTAGTATGTACATCGGTTTCATCGTGGACAGTCAACTGTACTCCAGCAATAGAAACGTCATATATTACTTCAATTGTATATAAAAAGGTATCATTACTTACACACACAACAACAACAAAGAAAGTATCGACATGTCATAAGAATCAAAATCACATCCGATTGAAAAAACATGAGCAATAAAAAGGATTTACATAGAGAAGTCTTGGGAGAAAATCAATTAAATTGATACGATTCGGCATACCAAATGATATGATTTACGTATACCGAAAAGATAAAGGAACGCAACTTCTTTAATTGTAAAATAGTTTGTATTGAATATACATGGCCGTATGAAAAGTAACAGGAACGTTAGGACACCTTACCTAATTGTCAAATGAATATTAAACATCCGTCATCCGTTACAAAAAAATTATCCACATCTGGCACGCCTAAATTACCAAGATAGCGTGACTGTACAAATTTATGCGTCCTTTTCCATTCAAACTAGTGACGATTTTCTGATTATAACCAAAAAGGGTGATCGCCAATACATTGGCAACCAATAATTGTTTTCACAAATATGTTACGACTATCACAACTCTATAGAGGGAGGGATCTCAACAACAGGTCTCTATTCAAATCGTAGTTCATAAATTGACTATAAGTCAGTTAGTGTTGATGACACACCGAGATCCGGACGTGATGATCGGTTCATTAGTCTTGCCCACTTGCATGACAGGAGACGGTCCAATATTAGAAATATTGTTCATAAAAATATTCCTATAGTGTAACAGTTGTCATTATTTATGACATTGTCTCCGCTGGGATTCGAACACGGGACCTCTGTCTTTCGAGTCTGACGCTCAACCGATCGAGCTAAAGAGAAGTTCACTCCACTCTAATGGTATATTTGCAACTAACATTTTACCAGTGTTCCGCTGTATTTAACCGTTAATGTGAAGCTGTGGTTCTTTTTCCTCTAAGTATATAAGATATTTAAGCGTACCCTGAGAGAACTGAAATGAATATAAAATTATTGTCTATGATCAAAAATTACAAAATGTTCAAAGCCGCATCAAATCGGCCCGTCCAAGATAAAGTGTACGATTTTCATCTGTTCTACTACTCAGCCTCAGGGTGACTCGCACTGGATGACCCTGTCAGCTGTGACGTCACAAGTTCAAAACCGGTTACTAGACGTAATAAAGAACTGCACCAGATATTCCTTTAGTTGATAAAAAGATGATACTATATAAAGCAGTGAAAGACGTTTTCATAAAGATTACCACAAGTACAAGTAGTTTTATTTACCAGTGATCACGGATTTAATACTGAATGTAACTGCAGATTGGAATACACGTGTTGCTGTTCATTATAAGTGTAGGTTTTTGTATTTGCCTATTTGTTCCAGTTATTATAGTAGATTTCCATTTGTAAAGAAAGGGATGGCGGGTATGATATGCAAAGTCACTACATACACGAATAGTGAAAACAGGTTAATTAAGTAAAAATCTGCATGTGTGTTCAGACACTCGCATACAGTTCATCGTTTGTCTACTAAAAGGGAGATAATTTCATAAGTAATTATAAAGAATCATTTCTACATGTATGTAGCACTTTGAATATAACCTTCATTGAAAAGAAGTCAAAGATTGCCGAGTGTATGATTACAAATAATCTTGTTTTCTAAGACATGCAATGACCAAATACATATGTGCACCAGTGTGTTGACGTGTTAGTGTATGTGTGTGTCTGTATCATATTTACCAAGTAAAATCTTGGAAAAATTAAAAATCATATAAAAAAAAAACAATGTAAAGAAGTGTCAACGGAATATATCAGATAAGTAGCTAAAACGTGTGGTGCAATCAATGAAAAACGCTTCAGGGTATATTTCAATAGTGACATATGCAAAACTTTCACATCGATATATTCACTGTCTAACTGGAGTATGTGACACATGATAATATCAGGGGAAAACAAATTGTTTAGAAAATATTACCTCAATTTCATTTCGGCATTTATTTCCTTGATACCATACTTGTTTCTACCCTTCATTTCAATATGATAATGCATAGTCACATCTGTCTATGTGTTCTTTGTATTACAATGGTAACTCATTCTTATCATACTTAATAAATCATATTGAGAATTGACTACAGAAAGTACACAAGAATAATCATAGCATGGTTTGTAAATTTTAAAAAGAAACAAAAATAACAGTTCCACTTTTACGTACATCCCGATTCGATGTTACAAACAATCACGGAATGTTTTCATCATAATGAGAATGGAATAACACTATATTTATTTGCAAAGTACCATTTTAATCTCTTGTGATAATATAACCATTCATGATTTTAAGCATTTTTTTTTTTGACTTTTTTTGACTTTTTAGTATGTTTGATGTTATTTGCTTTCTGGATCGCTGTGTGTTTCACCCGCTGATGGCCCTAATGGCATTTTATGTGTTGATGGGCCGTTAAGACTGTAAAGATGATCAAAAATATGATAATTCTCAGTGTACATTTTTGTGTCCCTTCATTGGTCGATGGGTCTAAAAAGTAACAACAAAACATAAAACATACAAACATGTCATCACTTACCTGGGGACTTCCTCCTAGAACTAACCGTGTGTTCGATGTAGGACTTGGTCATAAGCGAAAGTTTAGCTCCACTGACACAAATCCCTGCGGCAAATACACGATTTTTAACAGATTGAATATAAAACGCTTCGTATACAACTGTTCAATAAGGGTTATTACCTCCCTTGAATATCATGCCCATCAATGAAATCTTTAATATTTGGAAAACAGTAAAAGTCGTATCACTTCCGGAGAAGAAACGAAAACGACGCTAACGAAAACAACATCGTTTCACCAAGTATACCGTCACATCAGAGACACCAACGTTGTGTTTGTTACAACTGTAGAGGAAAATGTGTTGACGGAATGTGCATCATTCTACAACGCTATTGAATACTACTGAATTGACACTACTGAATATATGTCAGACGAATGAAGGTGTACAGAACAGCCCGAAATATCAACTATCCATGGCGCATTAGTTTTGGACCAGTTTAGAATCATTTTTCGCTAACGCTATGTTGAAGAACTGCCACCAAACAAATACTTTAATGACTTGAAATTTGTTCATATTAAAAGATTTATTTTAAACTGATCGGTGAAATACCAGTATTTTTCTAAAAAAAATATTCACAAATATTATCTCCATTTCGGTCACCTGAAATGATTGACATATGTATTGGACACGTGACTGCACTTCCGTTTTGGATGACTTCACTAAAGCACAGAGGCTGTAGTAAGATTTGTGTGATCCTGAGGTACACATGTATCACATAAAATCATCATTTGAACGGGAATGAAAATGATAATCAAAATATATTCATGGTGCGAAATTGATGTTTATGTGTGCACCTTTTCTTAAGGGTTATATTTAAGTTTATACTGTTTGATCCTTTCTTGGTAAACTTCCTTTTTATAACACCAACTATTTAAATAAAGTTAATTTTTCATCTCTCTGTCTACAACTAGCTATTTAAATAAGATTGGAAATTTGTCGTCAAAAGCGATAATTTATATATCATCATTTATTAAATATAAGATGTGCAAGTTTGAATATTTGCAGCCAAAAATTTGAGAGAAGGTGTGGCCTTTAACTCATGATCGATTTTTATTCACATGACAAACGACGAAACATTAGCATCTGAGAATGTATCAAAGCCCGAATATACGTAACATTCACCAAAAATTAAGTGTAGAATCACACATAATTATTGAGATATTCTCTAAGATGTAGTTAAAATTAAGTTATTTAAACCATAGTTACCATGACTTTGTGCATAAAGTATTGATATATGAGCAGTTGAAACTCGCTATTTGTAAACACACCTCCATTTTAAACACGCCGCCATCGAAATTACGATTGTTGCCGAACCACTTCGGAAAGTTCATGACCTGATCTCGCGAGAGTTGAGGTTTCTACTTATAGAGGAAGCACATGCAGATATGTCTACGGTAAGTTTTTGTTTACAAACATTGTTTGCGAAGACTTGAGGTATTCCTGTGATAAACATTCAGTTTTTGGGAAATTATTAGAAGGAATAATTAGTTCAGAAACGATACGACGCACAATTATAACGTAAGAATTCAGAATTGGCCTGATGTATGATTGGAAAAAAAGGAAGCGACTGGTGAACGTCTGTACTGTGTCTGCCATGTTTACACACGCGGAATATGCGCATGCGCAATGTCATCGCTACGAGCGGTAATGTATGAATTATTGTGGGTCCCACATTGTTTATTTTCCGATTTTTTCAATTTTTATTTAAATTGAAAACTGTCAGTTTTATTTTCTTTAATTAAAGGAAAGTATTTGTTTTGTTACATATATTACGGGGAAAATAAGATAAAGTTTGTTTTTTATAGTGATTTTTACGTATATTGGGGCTTTAATAGATTATTTCATTATATCTAGGAGAATGTTTGACATGTAAGAATGTGAATTAAGAAAAATACACAAATTTGCTAATGAAATAAATATTTATAACATTTTATTGGGAATGTTAAAATCAGGAATTTTTGTTCTTTCTGGAAGAGCGACATGTGACAACAACCAAAATTATCGCCAAGGTCATGAAGGTCATTAGTTTATATGATAGTGGTCAACATAATGGCCGTTCCGAAATACATAACTTTCTGGAACCGATGTCCAGATGATACACAAAAAATGACAAGCTATGTTTGGCACATTTCAAAGACGGTGTATATCGCCGAGGTGAAAAAGAAAAACAACAGTCCATATAGATTTATCATGGGCAATTGAAAACAAAAACTTTGGCAAATTGCCGGTTAGTATCGTTTACGGTTATTATGAGTAGTTGTGATCACAGGCTCATACTGTTCACATTTTTATGTGCTTATTGGGATTTTACAGCTTCATTTATAAGTACTGACGCATGTTACGTGAACTGACTTTAATTTTATTTACAGCTCTCAATAGAACTTGTAGTTTTGAAAAATTGAATAGAACATTTTAAATTGTGCTTTCAAGTTTCAGTTTTCTCAAGAAACACCATTGCTTTCCATAGATGATGGATGGATTTGGACACAATGCTTTTCATCAAACATCAGAAAGAATATTGGCTGAGTTAGAATTTGAGCTTACAATCCATGGATCATCAACCCTGGTTGTTGACTACTGAGCTACCAGTGCTCGACTCATTTTAGGAAAGGGGAATAATTGGAAAGCGAAAAACAAAATTAAATTTACCAAGAAGAAAGTTATTCCAACAAACCCAAATATAACTACAATCTATATCACAAGTCAAGGTTAAATATTTTAGATTTGTATATAAATATATTAGTGTTTGATATTTGTTGTAGTTTCAAGTTTCATTTGGGAATTACCAAAATCAGGCCTCAGACATTTATGTTGAAGAGATTTATACGAAAGAAGGTGGAAATTATCCATTATCTATGTAATGATCAATTTTCGAAAGAACACGTGTTGGTGATTATACAGGACTATATTGGATTACCAAGCCATATAACATTTCAATCTTTCCTGTACAAGGAAACTCAGACTTACAATAAGACAATTTATTCTGATTCTGGAACCCAAACAGAACAAAAGGTGTACACAACAGTAGGAACCAAAACAGATTTTGTGTTTATGTTTTACTTTAATGAGATAAATACCTGCCCCAGAAATGTGTCTGAAGTCCATGTACATTTGGTATACAGGTCATTAAACTTGATTTGTGTTATGAGGACATTAACAATTCAGATGAAAAGTGTATTTTCTACACAAATTTATCAAATGTGGGAATGTTTAAAGGTATGTTTGAGGGAATGGATAATGCAGAAGAAATGGGACTTCCTCTAGCAAAAGAAGGGCGAGGATACTCAGACTAATAAAGGATTTTTTTCTTGTTTTAGTAATGCTAGTTTAAGACTCCTCTTATAAGATTTGGCACAGAGATTTCACCTATCAAAACCTACATGCAGCAACATAACTAACCAAAGGATCACGTGCTTCAGTATGAAATTAATTCTTCTGGTGTCATGACCAACAAGATAAACAATTGAGACAAAAATGAAGAAATTCAAAAGGAAGTATCCAAAATGCAGAGTTATTGTTGTGATTGTACTGAAATTAAAACAGAAACATCCCAGTCACTAACCAATAGAATAAAGAAATGGCTACAAAATTGTCAACATTTTTCTTATTTTCAGGTCCTTTTGTATATTTTTGGAAAAATTTTTGCTGTAAAAAAAATTGAGTTAGAGTGAGCATACATGTTGTTTTTTTCAACCTTTTGTATATTTTTGTTTTCAAAATACATTTTGCTTTATATTTCATTGAAAATATATGACAAAAAATGATAAGATTTGCTGTAAAAATATTTAAGCTAGAGTGAGCCCTGTGATACATGTTGATTTTTTTCAACCAACCATAGGTTGTGGGATGCAAATGACTTTTTTTGTTTATTTTTTTACTCAGAGCAGAGAAGTTTTTGATGTAATTTAACACTAATATTTAAATGTTTCGTTGGAATCTTTTCGCCATCATGAAAAACACATTTTAAATTCTTTAGTTCCAAAATGTGCTGAGTAAATTATTTAACCAATGACATTGATGGGAACGTTTTGAAAAAGGAAGGAAAATTGCACTGATGGAGACATGTAAAAAAAATTAGACATTGTCACTGCTATTTTTAAATTAGGTGTACCTCGTTAGAAATAAGTGTCCTGGCAAATTTAGCCACAGATTAATCCTATATTTTGTGATGTTTTTTGTTTATTTTTCATTGGTTTCCCTGAATAACACTTTTGTAAAATATTTAACTACTCAAGTTCCTGCGTTCCTGCACATGTGATTTAGCTGTAGCCAGCATTAATGATCCTGACCATGTGTTACATGTTTTCATCATGCGTAATTTCTAGTTTACAATTCTGAGATAGTAAATTGAAATCCAATATGACCGTCATGACCGCCATCATGAAATATAGTTCCACTGGCCGCGTATGCGTTTTTTATTGGTTTCCCTGAATAACACTTTTGTAAAATTTATCTCAAGTTCCTGCGTTCCTGCACTGTGATTTAGCTGTAGCCAGCATTAATGATCCTGACCATGTGTTACAGTTTTCCATGTCAGTCCGTAATAAAATATGGCCGCCACAACCACCATCTTGAAAAATGTAATATCGCTGTTTTATCTATATATAGGTCTTTATAGTCAGTTGACTGTGAAGATCCATTTTTCTTCTCAATTACGTTGTATAAGAGCTCCTAGTTTTGAGTTGGGTTTGTCCAACCCTATTTATCCGTATAGCTTGAATGTACTGTACCCCTGAGCTGCCAATGATTCCGCTATTACACGACTTTCTTAGGCGGGGAAATGTTATAGTTCATACATAGTTCACAGACTACAAAGAAGGTTTCTGTATCTCTTAATCTGGGATGCTTCTAAAGAAAATCCTATGAAGCTATCGGGAAGCCATCAGGTCCCAGCTTTTCCAACCAGGGGTTAGTGTTTTTAGATATGAACAATGAACAAAATTGGGAACATTTAACATTTCAAAGCTGAAGATCTGTCGAGACAGGTCCAATTGATATCTTCTGTTTTAAAAGTCCTCGAACTAGTGGCAGCTATTCACATTTTTTA